AACAGATGCCCCCGTCGCCTGCCCGCACCCGGGGGCTGCACAGCTCAGCCCTCGCTTCCTCCCTGTCTGCGACAACCTCCCCCACCCCGTCTCACGCGGCCTCCTCCCGCTCAACTAGCTGCTCATCCCTCCAAACTCAGCTGAGAAGCCAGGCTCCCCGACGCTCCGGGCAGAGACTCCTGTCCGTGGGCTGTGTTTCCATAACACCCTGTGTGGAGGTTTATCACTTTACTTAGCACGTTTTAATGAAACTATCTGTTTACCCATCTGCCTCCCACACCGGGACGTAAGCACCCGCCTCCGTACGGGAGGCAAGTCACATGTCCCTATGAGTACCTAGCTGCTTCCCGGGCACTTCAAATGTAACAAGTCCCAAAGCAAACCGTGATTCGGACTGTCACACGAACTCAGCTTTCCCTCAGTCTCCCCCGTCGGATGGGCTAACGTTCGCTCAGGGGTGCGCACCAAACCTTGGATGTCCTCTAGAATCTTCTCTTTCTTGCACCCCCCATATCGGTCCACGTCCTGCTGACCCCGCCTCCAAAACCACAAACCTGCCCACTTCTCTCCATCCTGTCCTCTGAGTTACAGGAGTTGAGGCTTCAGGGCTGCTCGCTTGCACACACCCCTCCAAGACCCGGGGCCTCACTGTGTGTTTACAATTTTGTATTCTCTTTCGAGGGGGTCCCCAAAATTGTATAGGCTCCAGCCCCTAGAGAAAGTGGATCCACCTCTGCTTCAGCCCTGTGTTTTAACTCACTGCACCTGTCTCCCTCAGTCGATCTCTTGCCCCTTTGCAATCCAGCCCCCATTGGGCGCTTTTAAAACCATCGACCAGATCAGGTCATACCTGTTCCGAAAACCTTCCCCTGACTTCCCATTGTTAACCCCGCCCCTTCATCGGCCCTGTGTCGCCTCCTCTACTCTTCACCTGCTGTACAAGTGCTCGCTTAGGGCCTTGTCCTCGGCCGCTTGCCTTGAACCACCCTCTTCCCCCAGATCCTCACAGCTGACCTCCCTGTGCCTTTCTGGTCACGTGCTCGATGACCCTTACTCAGAGAGACCTTGCCTAAACACCCCACCAAGAGCGGCTGCCCCAACCGTGCCCCCATCACGTGATATAATAACACTTGACAGCTTCTTACTTTGACCCTCTGTTCATTTTCTGTCACTCCTCACCAGTGTTTCTGACTTGGTAACTAGAACTTTGGCCCAGAACAGGCGCTCAAGAAATATTTTTAAATTAATTAGGAAACAAACATCACAGGAGCTCAGCCAGTATGTGCTGAGATGTCATTAGATTCCATTAAGTAAAATCAGAACCATCGGTGCGGAAATATGCTCTCTCGAATCTTATTACCTGAGTTCGAAGGCTTTGGTTCAAAGAACCGTCTTAGTCCCGTACCATTCGCACATTGGATGAGCATATGTGGGACAGAATACGGAAAGACAGTGAAAAGAAAGGGGGAGAAGTCACGTTTGGTACAAACCTTGACTATCTCAAAAGGAAAGCGTTCGTGGAAAATACGATTGATTTTAGCGCCCCCTGAGAGCTCCAGGGTATCGACTTGGTCCCCCGAGCCTTCGATTCTCTTCTCGAAGTCCACCGCGAATTGCTGAACCATCCTGTAATTGTGAGAGAGAAATAAAGCTGACTCGAAGCGACAAAGCTCTGCAT